ACCTAAACTATTGGAGACTTGCTGAACGCAGTTCCAGGTGTACTTTATGACCACACACTCTTGAAGCAACCTCAGAGAATCGATCAAAGTGTCGACATTATATTGCTAGGTTACAATGGATTTTCGATTTTGACCACCAAGTTGTGACCAGTATTCCAAGCCTACAGGGGTAAATGACCTTCTAGCGGTTGTCTGAAGCAAATGACGGTGAGAGTGAATGATTATCATGACAATACTCTCACCATTACCTATCCATCCGCCCTCGCTTTCACACCCTCACCCATCCATACTTCATTGGTTTTTTGTCGGACTAGATGGTTGAACTTTTCAAAAAAAATTTCGATGAATTTTTTTCATAAAGTCGAAGAGTACTCAAAGGTTGGATCCATCTAATCCTTCACGAACTCAACCAAACACGCTAAAAATTTGGATTTAAAGATTTTCAACATCACTGATTCAGATGTGCATTTCAGGTCGAAAAATTAAGATTTGACCAGTGCCTTAGCTTCTTGGTTAATCCGTGGGTGCTCTCTTAAGAAGTTCTCCTTGTTGTAGGTGCCAACATCAGGAAGCACTACTGATATGGTTGCCTCTATGAGTCAACAGATGGTCCCTCTCAATCAAAATTTAGCACAACTAAAACAGTTTGTTAAAGAATGTGAAGCAAATGTATCATTGTTATCAGATGACATCAAAGAATGCTTTACACCATACATTAGTATTGCAAATATTGCTGTTGACACTACTGAGAAAAGTGGACGAATATTAGAGCACTTTGCACAAATGTTCAGTATCGTACAGTAAGTTTTTTTTGCAAATAATGTACCGTGCTATTTTGACGAATCGTATTTTATTTATCATCAAGTCAGCCTGTGAAATCAGGCGGCTAGGCACGAAGTGCGAAAACTATTCAGTTGAGAAAACTCATACTTTGGCCGCTGTCCTCAAAACAATTGACCCAGAACTATTGTCCATGCCAAGAAAGAAGTCGGGTGATTATTTTTAGAACAACTTGAGAATGTAACCAGCTAGTGACCGACAGTTTTTCACCATTCGAAAGAGCAACCTTGTGTTTAGATTTGTATAAAATTCCCGTTAGTCAGAGAATAACCAAGATGGTCAATTTCGCTGGCCATTTTTGAGAACGATATTCTGACAATATTTCTCATCCAATTTTAGATCCTAAGGTGTCCATTCGATAGAACAAATTACACTCTTTCAATCTCCGCAAAGCTTGCATTCCTAGCTTGTTGTGCTCAAGAATTATAAGCTTTTCTTCGGAAACATCGAAATCAATCCTATAGCATCTCGTTATTCTGAAAAATATGTCGAAATACCAACCTTTATATCATGTTTTCTCGATTAGCAACGTTTCCTTTTATTTTTGAACCGATCGAAAGACATCAGATCATAATTTGAAAATTTCACCCCAAGCGGTCTTCAGTCAACTACAGCCAACATGAGACACCGAAAATAGACATGTTGGAAATCTTAACTAAGTGACGTCAGATCGATTCGAAAATAAAAGAAAACGTTGCTAATCGAGAAAACATGGTCTAAGAGTTGGTATTTCGACATATTTTTCAGAATAACGAGATGCTATAGGATTGATTCTGAGGTTTCCGAAGAAAAGCTTATAATTCCTGAGCGCAACAAGCTAAGAGTGCAAGCTTTGCAGAGATTGAAAGGGTTTAATTTGTTCTATCGAATGGACACCTTGAGATCTAAAATTGGGTGAGAAATATTGTCAGAATATCATTCTCAAAAATGGCCAGCGAAACTAGCCATCCACCAACTGATTACGTTCTCAAGTTGTTCTAAAAATAACCACCCGACTTCTTTCTTGGCATGGACAACAGTAAGTTTACTTGTCATTGCATCTTCTTCTTCTGTGAAAGGCCCACTTTGACAACAATACAGGAAAGACAACTTCGCCCACATGTCGTTGGTGTATGTCATGAAATTCTTGGCATATATTTGAACCAAGAAAACGCTGCTGTTCAGTGTTTTATTGGTATAACAAACGCATTGTCGAAAGACCCAAAAGTAGCTGCTGATCCAAAGATTCAAGAACATGTAAACAAAATTAGTCAAGCTTTACCTGCTTTAAAGGCATTGCCTTCTTCGGATTTAGATGAAAGAAAGCCCTTGATAGATAATATTATTAAAGAAACGACAGCGTTAGGCGAACGTGCAGATGAACTTAATCCTCATGGCCCAACAGCAAAAGCTGCCAGAACATTTGGAAAAGTAATGATTGGTCTTAAATATACGCTTATCGCTGTTGGATTAGTTGTTGCTGCTTGTACAATTGTCCTACCAATTGCTGCCCTCGGATTTGTTGTCTTGGCCAAAAAATGATAAAACACTAACATATGGTTTCTTGCTTTTTCTCTTTTAAGAGAGGGTCCATGAGACCGTCGACCAAGCCCGAATACGTCAAAATTTTGATTTTGAAATAAAGTATACCATTCGAAAGCTCGTGAAAAGTTGTGCTTAAATCCAAATTTTCAGCTCCTTCTGAAATGCCTATCAAGAGTTATCGACTCATCTTTGAACACACCCTCTGGTACTACTTTGTAAAATTAGGTAAAATTCAGAAAATACTTTTTCACACTTTAAGACAACATATTATACCCTTAAAGGAAACCCCTTTCCGGAGTTTCCCAAGAACGGCTGGGTGAAAA